TGCCCCTGCATTTCATGTTGCCTCACATAGGCGGTTTCGATAGCTCAACACTCACCTTCATTCATTTACTCACACTTCAAGAATGGTTGCTGAAGCATACAAAATAACTCATCCAATCTGAGCGCGAGGACTTCAATAATCAAAATGAACATATTTATAGCAAAACTATTTTTTTAAGGTAAAAGAACTTATAGTGTAACGAAAGGTTGTAGGGGCGTTGAAATAAAACTATAGTAGGGTGTAAATATGACTCTTGTAACTACTGAGGTATCAAAATCCATGGGGTTAAGCAAAGTAAGAAGATCAAAATGATATTATGTCTATAGCTTTTCCTCAAAAGAACAATGAGATTACATATAAGGACAGAAGGATTTATTTAAATGATGATACACGATCTCAACATCTTACTCTATGATATCAACTCTAACTAGTACATTGATTCAGAGCCTCATATCATATGACAAGAAACAAAAAATGCTTTAAGAATGAAGATATCAAAGTGATGCTTATAATTTAGATATTGATTTGTGGTATATGAGAGTATAACACATGCAATATCTAAATTTGAAGACAAAGAATCTTTTTTGATGGTGATACATGATCTCAACATAGTAATCTATGATATCAATTCTAACGAGTACAGTCATTTAGACCCTCAATTCACATGACAAAAACAAGAAATGCTTCACGAATGAAGATATCAAAGTGATGCATACAATTTATATATTAATTTGTGACAAAAGAAAACATAACACATGCATTATTCAAATTTGAATTCATTATCTACCTCATGTCTAATGATTATTCAACGTAGATTCAATAACAAGCAAAAATTACTAAATGTTTTTCATGCTAGCTTGGAAATCAAACAAGACATACTTGTTTTACATGAGGGCTTATCTTATATCTTATAGATCTATGAACATTGCCTAAAAATATTTTGAAAAATTAATTTCTTTATATATATATATAATTTATGATTGCTCTACGATGACATGATTTTAGTTACTGATTCATGACTTAGAATCCCTATTAATCTTTAATAACTTTAAGATTTTTGTTAAGAACCAATTAGATAGTTCGTTAAATAAGTAAGATCTGATAAAGAAAAATATACTTGTCAATTGAATTCAATGATTTTTTGACTTAACATAAACAAGTACCACTACCATAATCCTTAGCATTATGAAAGAAAAAGTTGACACATTGTCAAGTCTAAAACAAAAATGTTGAATAAAAATGCCATGGTTAGATCATGTCACACAAAAACTATTTTGTGTGCTTTATGACCAATGAAGAGGACTCCAACAACATCATTACCCTAAAAAAATGTCGGTTAAGGTACTCACATGTAGAAAATATGATATGTATGTTGTGCACATATATATCATATCACAAAATAAATTGTTGCCACATCAAGCATCATAATACATAGATTGTCATACACCACGACAAGTATACTATGATTTATCTATTTTCAAAATGTCCAAAAGTACATGTGGCTCATAACCATAATATTTAAAAAAAAATTACACTCTTGAGGGAAAAAAAATTCCAGGTTTATGCAATAGCTAATGTTCCCATAGCCACATTCTTCAAGTTTCCAATTCATCATTTTTCTTTTAAGAGTCCTAATTAAAACTCTACCTCTTAAGCCTTAGGTCTCATATTGGTGCTACCTACCATAAAAATGATTTATTACAAAGCAATGCTAATTGCATAACCGGCCGTAAATGATGTATATGATGTATATGCTCTACTTACACATATGTATCTAATTGAAAATGATATTACATAAGTCGTGACAGTTGTCGTGCACATACATATATCATAACATATATTGTTATCTTATAAAACATCACAATTCATACATTGTCATACATCAACACCAGTGTATCACAAATATATCCCTAATTAATAATTAAATTCCTCTAATATCATATAGCCATCTAGTCTATCACCTTAATATGCCCTTTGCCATACATCAACACTAGTGTATCACAATATTTTTTAAATTTATATTTACTTTTAACTTTAACTTTATTGATAATATGATTTTGTATATTTATGTCATTTGATGATGAATTTCATATTTATTTATTATTACAAAAAATTAAAATCTTACAAGTGAAAAGATTGATTGATTTGAACTGAATTTTTAAATAAATTTTTTTTATTTGTAATAAATTTTCTGATAGTTAAATAATATTTCTCTATTTTATTTTATCATTAAGTAATTTAATAAGTCAATTTTTTCTGTATTTTATCACAAAAATCATAAAAGATATTATTTTAGTATATTTAAAAAATATTTTCATAGATATTTTTCTAATATTTGTTATTTTATATTTATTTATATAATTATTATTTCAAATTTATCTATTTTTTAAATTTGAATTTTAATATTATAATGATATTATTTTTTATCATTAATTATTATTATTTTTTAATATTATTTTTTATCATTAATTATTATTATTATTTTATATTTTATATTCATTTTTTTATTTTCATAATTGAATCATCTTTATATAATCTATTCATTATGAGTTTTCATTTAGTTTTAATTTATCTTCATATTTTATATTTTTTTGTTCGATTTTACTTTTAAATAATTTTTATAAATTTTTTGAAATTTATTTTATCATCGCATGAATAAAAATATATGAATTAGTTGTTTGATGAAACGAGTTAAAAAGTATCAATTTTAAAAAATTTCAGTTTGTTAACTTATTTTATATTGATATTTAAAAAATATATAATTCTTTTAGTTATTTTTTAATATATTTTAATATATTTTATCTATAATTTAAAATGATATTAAATTGAAAATAATTCGACCAAAATATGAATCCAATTTTATTATCATGTTTAATTCTATGTGTAACTTGAAAACAAAATTATTTCTTTTCTATTAAAATATACTGATAGTTATTAGTATTTTTTCCTCTATGAATTTAAACAAGCAAATTTTTGAAATATATTACAATGCACAATTAGTGGTTAGGTTCCCCTAATACCATATAACCATATAGTCTATCATCATGATATGTCTTTTACGAGACTAAGATCAAGAAGTTATGTATTAAAATCCTTCATCGTTAATCAATTTTTTGCAATCATAATATAATGATCAAACTAACTATCTTGCTAATCGCATCAAGTACATCTCCATCTCCCAATAGACACCATAATGAAAAGAGCTGTCAAATATGACATATGTCATCGTCTCAAACATGAATCACAAATCAACATATTGACTGCTCCACCATTTAATCCAAACAACATACATTGTAGGTATGCTCACACAATTGTCATACTTAAATCCATGGTACCATCAATGTTTAAATCCATGGTACCATCAATGTTTGGATGATAACATGATCCACAATTACAAATAACCATTTCAAGCCACACAATCATGATATTCTAACACAAAAAATCCGAAAGTCAAAATCTCACTTACTCGTACAATCATGCCACCAATAGTAACATCCAATGTGATCGGTGCACTAAGCTATAAATAAATTTAATCACCAACACAAAATCTGTAAATTGAAGTCGATATCCATCTCATGGGACGATAATATAGTGCAAAACATCTTTATGTTTAGCAATAGCAAACATCTGAAATATAATGGCAATAAGATTCAATATTTCTAGAAGAGTCTTACCATGACTATATTCAATATTATACTTAACTACATACAAAACATTAAAAAAGAAAACCAAGTGTTATACATTTAAAAAACATAAACTAATTTCTTGAGTATAGATAATAACATTAAGTATTGTCACGAAATTAAATGTAATCATGCAAAATCAATCATATGTTTTACGTGACAATAGAGTAAAATCTTGATCTTACTAAATTTGCTAATGAATATTTGATTTAAATTGAATAGATTATGTTGAAATTTTTTTATATTACTGAAATTATAAGTATAAAATTTCAAATTATTTTTTTGACATTGTCTCTGTAATATAATTATCAATTTTATTTTTTTAAAATTCAAATTAAATGATTTGTACATGTATAATCAACTAAACTATTTCAATCAAGTTATGATTTAGAAAGTTACATGGATTCATGTCAAAATTTTAAATGGATTTCATTGATTGACTTCAAGAATTCGTTGAGAGCATCCTCATGTATATTTTTTTTATCTCAATCAAGTCATAATGAAATGATTGTATGTGTGTTTTATGTGTTTTAATAAGTCTAGCTCAATTTTATATTGATCAAAAATATTTTACCTCCAAATTTTTTTTGACAAATCAAATACTCAGAATTCTTCTTTGAATCATGTGTATTTTCCAGTAGTAAGGCCATGAAAATTATATTTACTCTTTTGGATAAGCAGAAAACTATTTTTGATCTTTATATATTGTAATATAAGCTAATTTCTTGTACATTATGTGACATTGGTTTCTTGGTTCATCATCAATCAATGTAAGCCACTGGTTTAAGTAAAGGCTAACCTGATTCAATGCTAGCATTTGATACCCATTTTTTGAAAACCTTGAAAATTTCAAAAATTTGTAATAGTAATTCTTCAATGGTGATATGATATCAGTCTATTTTTAATCCATCATGATGAAATTCTTATTCTTCATGAAATGATACTCCTGGTTGTTCATGCACTGATTTTTTTTTCTTGAGCATGAGATTTACAAGAATTGAAAATGAGAGCGAATTGATCTACTATAGAGTTAGAGAAAAAAGTTCTCCATTATTAGGAATTGCTTTAAAAATATTGTAATTTATGCGTTCCAGAGCCGGAGCAATGTAGTGAGCATTGGTACCCATTGCAACTTCACAAAATGCAATACAAGAGAAAATAACAGATACTGAAAAATACGCAATTGTGATTAGAGATACTATCTTTGAATAATCAAAATATTACATTTCACTATCTTATCGAAAGCTTCTATAGCTCAGTTTGCTAGAACCCCGTTGAGTTAGCAGAAAATAAAACTTTCAACTCTAGATGGAAGGATATGCGGTGGCCGTGCCGGAGTGGTTATCGGGCATGACTAGAAATCATGTGGGCTCTGCCCGCGCAGGTTCGAATCCTGCCGGTCACGGATTGATTGTTTTGTATTAATGGTCTAGTCAGTTACAGATGGTGATACTCCTTACTGTTTCTTGAAGAATGGGGGCCCCCTGTTCCACCTGTCTTTTCCTACTTGCTCTGGTTGAGTTTATAATGACGTATTGATAGGGTATGCGAAGTCAGCATTCCAGACAAAGTTTCTTCTATGTGCAGATTGATGTCTTTCTTCCGTTTCTACACTCTATGAACCATTCAAGATCTCGTTCCAGTTGAGATATAGAATCTATCAGCCTAGGCCAAGGATAAGAAACCAGGCCCTGAGAGAGCTTAGGAATACAATTTTTCTTAAAATAGATATGTGATTTTATTTTTTTAGATATGTGATTGCTGTTAAGATATCCTGCTGATCATACGTGAGGTGTTGCACAAAAACATAAAATCCGCGTGCGTTGCTGGCCCAGAGTGGAGGGATGTCTGAAAGTCGAGACTTGAGTACTACTCTGTCTTGCTACTTGAGATCGAATACGAAATCGAAGAGTAAGTTTGATTGGAAGTCAATTCTCAAATCAGAGAAATCTGGAGCTGACTTCTGAGCTTGCTTCCTGGAGAGATTAGCTCAAACAAAAATCTTGGGCGTGAACTAGCTGACTGCTTAGGCTGCGAGCTACTGCAAAGAAGAGTCAAACAAAGATTTTATGGACAGGAGAAAATCACCATCTTAATAAACTAGGTACATTAAATATCACAAACCATCTCCACGAGATCATCCGACAAGCAGGCATTTGATGTTTAAGTGAACTGACCGTTGCTGGAAGAAACCATGACTTGCCGAAGTTTTTACTCCTAGAATCCTGCTACGACGACGACACATCATAAACTATCCGCAAGGGAGAGATTGACACATCTTTTACCTATATCGTTAAGTTAGCTGATGCCATATATAGTCCGTCTACGCAGAGGGTTGGAGATAAAATCTGTGATTCCAGGCTGTAGACATTCCAACTTGCAGAATTGAGGATCCTACCCTCATAATCACATGAGAGAAGCATGAAAGGAAAAACTTGAATCAGCGGCGGAGCCGGGATGCTAAATCATGCACGGAGCTGGACCAAATTTGAAAGAATCAGAGAAAAACCGGTGTTCTTTTCAGTTTAAAAACTCATTTTGTAATAGTTGTTACATTCAAATTCACCTTCAATATATGTAATATGAATTTTGATCATCTCCTGTCTCCTCAAATTAATAAAGAAGGCGAAATTTTCTCTGCCGGTAGAGATCTTGTTTCAACTTCTTTTTGCCACTAGGAGCAATAAATTTATTTTTTTTACCACCAATGATCATTTGGACCTACAAGAAAATTCAGCAGAACTTACCGGAAGATTACAAAATTAGACTCCAAAGCTTGGCATATGAACCCGTTGGCTCTGCTACTACAGTCACTAAGATCAGCATTCTTTCTAGATCGCGAAGACAGATTTGAGATGTGGATTCTATCAGCATATCCAGCAAAATATGTAAGATGCAGCAAACTGGAAACCCAGATATAAACCACTCAACCTTGCAACCCATAACAGCTCAGTGGCACATCATCAGTATGGAGACTCCCTTCTCGTAAGTCCGGATCTGGATAGAGTCATACTGGAGTACTCTACCAGACTTTTCAGATAAAATGTTCTACAAGTTTGGCTTTGTTACGCTGCAGTGTGAAGCTCTGCACAAGAGTTACAATTATTAAATGACTCTCTGGAAGGATCTCAGACAAGTCTCTGTATATGCTCGAAATTTTTGGAAATTTTCTCAACTTATCAACTTGTGGCGCTGCAAATGCTGAAAAGCCTATTATAATGTTTAAAAGTAACGGTAAGATATAGTGTCTTGAGGTTTGAAGGAAAATTAAACTGTGTTCCTCATCTACAAAAATCTCGTGAATTTTTAGCATTGGTTCAGTTGGGAGGTGAGCGGCTTTCGTTTCATTTCATAATATGGTTTCCCAAATTGCTCTTTGAAGTCCTGTAATTCCGGTTCCAAATTATCGGCTTTGCCACAGCATGCTTGCCCTACTTCCTGTAGTGAATGACGCATAAAAAATGAAAAACTGAATGCTCAGGCAAGTTTGTAGTCGAACACCCAAAAACTAGTCACTGCATTGTTCTCTACACCACACCAGCATATCTTTGACCGGTGTGTAGACCCTGATACTCGCGCTGCTGTAATGTACTCATGCTATTTTCTCGACACATGATTTTGGAGTATGCGTCGGGACAGCCGGTACATATACCGTCGGCACTTGGGAACCGGTGCTACATTAGTTACTAAGGAACAACGCTCATACGTAGTTACTAATAACTGTCACGTCCGAGGTGTATACCTCCCTCGAGGACTCTCTTCTGTTCTAAGTACTTCATTCAACTCTCTCGACGCTCTCTTCCGCACATGATGTGTGCCCTGCACATTGCGTTTACCACATGGTATCAGAGTGCTGATATGACTCATAAAACTCTAATCAGCCGATCAATCAAAGGACGCTTCAATTGCAAATGCTAGAGGGGACGCTCTCTATCATGAGAAATCGATAGCAACAAAAGCTCCGAAACAAGGCAGCGAGCAGAAGGTGTCGATACTCAATTTTTTGGAGCTTGTCCTCCCATCAACACCGATTTCTCAGCGCTAAGTGCTGTATCCCAAGCCCTTCATCCTACCCTCCTCATCGCAAATTTTTGACGTTATAATTCATCACATAAATAGAATCTGAATTACAATGGCTGACAAATTACAAACAATGTCATTGTCTATCATTATAACACCTGGAGCCTTCGACACAAGAATTTGGCCAATTTGAATAAAATTTGCCACAAGTATTTTAAAGACATCATCAAATGCCAATTCAAATTCCATCATGTTTGAAGAGTTCTCAGTGGGCGACAAATCACTCCCGTCCCACGCCCAATTAGCTACAAGAGGAAGTTGGCGGATATCTTCAGTATGAAGCTTGTACCAAAATACCAAGTCCTTGACCATCCATAACATTCGGAGTTCATCAATTTGTCTCTCTCTTTCATAATTCTCTCCTTGAAGATTGCTGATTTACAATGAACGTTCCACCCCTTCCACTTTGAAGTTTGAATATAATGAACAAGAAGCAACACAGTTTTTGTTTCATCTATGAATGATAACCAACGAAAATTATGCTTTGATTTTACTTAGTTTTGTACTTGTTATTTATACTATATTTGCAAGGACAAATAATTTGCTTTTACTTCCTAGAGTTCCTGTTTGTTTACAACATTTTGTGTTTAGAAACATATGTGGGAATAAAACAAGCAAAAAACTTTTGCTTAGCTATTCCTCGGGGGCATCTTAGTTTATTTCTAAAATTACCTCAAATCTAAAATAAATTTAAAGCGTAATAAATGAAAAACTTGTATATGTATCAAATGCTTTGCGTTTGATACATCCATTCCTGTATTTTTTTTAAAGGGAAAAAAAATTCAAAATAATTTAACAACAAATAAGTGAGAAAACTAAACTTTGTCACAAATCGTATGAACTAATACAGAAAAGAAAAAAAAACGTGTAAGCTTATCGTGGTGCAATCTGGTGTAAAATTAAAATTTTAGAGGAAATTGATCACAGTTTAAAATATATGAACTCTGAAAGAGTGAGACAATTGTACATGTGTTGAAGGAGCCAAAGATCATAAACAGCCTATGTGACATACTGCCAAAATAGATTTCACCAGCACTACCTAATTGTAACTATGTACATTGATAAAAAAAAACTCACATTGTATAAAAATTATAGGGGATGAAAAAATCTAAGACCAAAAAAAAATTACATTTATACATCAACATTTATATAGTACCAAATTTTGTAGCAACACAAAGCTCAGGAAGTCACCATACCATGAAGATAAGGCGGCAACTTGACATCAAAAAATTATGATGATAATCATGATGTGTAAATATTTCAGATGTATAATTGATTTAAATTTGATGTACATTGGTTTTGTGTTTTACTTTCAAGAAATCCACTTTTTGTCACGGCTTTGCTCACAACTAAGAAAAACTTACCTAATTTTTTTTGGTTTTTAGACTCTCATGAAATATTTTTGGAAGACTGATAATATGACTTCGTAACCTTTCATTGTTCGTAAATATTATATGTTTGACTATTGAATGTTCAAAAAATAATTTGATATTTAATCTCATATGTGCTTATAACTTTTATACATAAATATATTTTTAAAATTTATATATAATAATATCAATATTTTTTAAATGATCATAAAATAAAATTTATGATTTTAAATATATATTTATTTTATAGTAATTTTTTTATATTATTGAGTTTTCATTAATATTTAAATTATATATTTATTATCAAAAATAATCAAAACTTTTTACATATTTTATTTCATAAATATGATTTTATTTTTATCAAAATTATTCATATTTACATGTTTTTTTGATAAGATTATTTTTAAATCGTTTCAATGTAATAAATGAGTATCCATCAATAAAATTTTGTTATGTATAAAAATTATTTATTTTAATTTTTTAAATTAATTAAAAAAAATTCAAATTATAAAATTTTGAAATCTGTGGGAATTTTATTTTTTTAATAAAATTTTTGGCTGGTTTCAGTAAGTTTTTATTTCTGGTCAGGATTCCAAAAGATCAAATGGAGTTAGACATTTAATAAAATTAATCAAAGAAAATTCATCCTATATATATAATCTATGATAGTTTTTTACCATCATAGAGTTTCATCAATACTCGTATTATTAAAGAGATGAATCTATTGATATTTATATTTGTCGTTTTCATGAGATTTTTTAGCAGTCCTGTTGTTCATGCAAAAACTTATTTTCATATGCAATTTGGGTCATTTTGAGCAGGTACTGGTAATCCGAGACCAAGGTTTTTTTCACTCTCAAAGAAATGAATTTTGGATTCCATTTGTATTGCTTTGTGATTTTTGATAATCAATAGAAAAAGGATGTAGAAAAGAATCACCATGTGAACCGAAGTCC